GACGCTCCCGAGGCCCGGCGAGGGCCCGAGGAGGCCGACAACGGCAAAACACCGCCCGCTCCAATTGTTCTGGAGCGTCGGACCTCTGTGCTACAGTAAGAGCTCGACCACAGGGAACCTTCCACAAGAAACCCAACCCTGAGACCCCAGGGCGTCCATCGATCCCTGGCGTGGGAACGTCACGCTTTCCACGCGAGAACCACCAAAACCCAAGAAACCCAGGGCCCCCGGAGGCACGCAGGGTGTTTCTTGGCATGGGTCTCCACTGCAAGCTAACGCGGCACTTGTGCCATCAGTCGGGCGCGCCACTCTCTGCTTCACAGTCATAATACGCTCCGTTGTTGCCCGCCTCTCTGCCCGCATTTCCTGGAGAGCTGCCAATGGCGCCATCCTCTGCCCACGCGTCCTTCCGGATGCTTGGCTCTGTTGGCTGGCTGGGCGTTTTCGCCACCCTTGCCTCCGTTTCGCCTTCTTGGGCCTCCTGGGAGGCCCTCGTCGTTTCGGCTAAATCCGCCTCAGAATCCGGATCAGAACGCACCCTGGGAGGGGTCCCGGGAGTATCGGTATCAGTACATTTGTGGCTTCTCCAGGACAGAAGTGGGAGCACGTCTTCTCCCCTCAGATCTGGGCGCTGCATTTTTTCCCAGCGGGCGTGTTCGCCCAACTTCGGGCCCAAAGACCCTGACTGGAAAAATGACGCCGAGAGATGGGGTCTAGGGCTCTGGTCGTGATTCTCCGCGATGCTACATCCTACTGAGCAGCGTTCGATCTCAGAAACTTGCACCGCCCCTTCGAGGTTCAGATTGCACCCAGTCTGACAGTCCACAAGAAACCTTCCACAAGAAGCCCAACCCTGCGACCCCAAGACGTCCATGGATTTTTGATGTGGGAACGTCACGAGCCAGTGCAGTCAATTACCGTCTATGTTTCGACGGTGCTAGGCGCGGCTCGGGTGAATCAGCTGCTGGTGTCGCTTTTATCGCATATTACGTTTCCGGGGAGAGAGACCTCCTGCTCCGTACTGGAAAATTGCTCGGAGTGTTGCCATCGGCGTTCCTTGCCGAAGCACTTGCTGCAGAATGGTGCCTCGACATACTCTTTTCACATTTTCCCGTTACACCCAGCGGCGGGTAGGTATGCGAACTGCATGTGCCTTGAGGGAAGAAGAAGAAGAAGAACGTCACGATTTCCATGGGAAGAAACATCGACCCCCAAGAAACACAGGGACCCCGGAGGCAAGCAGGGCGCTCCTTGGCAGGGGGCCCCACCGTATAATTACCAGCGCCCGCCCGCGCGTCTCCTGCCCACATCCTCGGCAGCGCTGCAGCCTGGGATGAGCCAGGGAACTCCGCCTCCCTCCGAGGGGGGGTCCACATCTCGGGCCCCGGTGTGCGCTCAAAAAAAACGATCGGGGACGAAAGCCCAGCCTCGGCCCCAAGTCGGCCCATAGAGGCCCCCCAAACGGCTTCCGACGGCGTCAGACGGACCAGGAGCCAGCCAAGACGGCCGAACATGGCCCAAAGATGGCCCAAGACGGCCCCAGAGGCCTCCAAGAGGGCCCGAAAAGGCCAAAATCATTGATTTCCTATGGGTTTCTGAAGGGTTGTGGCATCTGCTTTTTTTCTGCCTTCCGACGGGGCAGCGATCGGGACCTCTGGGGCAGCGGATCAGAGATCTTAAGACCGGCGGGTGTCAGGGGCCAGCAGGGAGGCGGGAGACAGGAGGCGGAAGGAAAGGTGAAGGGGGGAAGGGGGGAGGGGGGAGGGGCAAGCTAGGTGCGCTCGCGTCATATCTGACGTCCTACCCCTCCCTCCCATCCCTTACCATGGCGCTGATTTTCTCTATCCGCGGACGCGTGTCGTAGCGGACCTGTGGCTCCGCGCGCGCGTGCGTAGTGGGTGGTGGTGCACGTGCGTGCGTGCGTGCGTGTGTGCGTGGTTGTCGTGGTGGTGGTGGTGGTGGTGGTGGTGGTGGTGGTGGTGGTGGTGGTGGTGGTAGGGAGGAGGAACGGGGGGAAGAGAAGCCTGGGGAGGAGGGAGGCAGATCGGGCGGCAGATCGGGGGGAGGGAGAGGAAGCCATGGGCGAGGTGCAGCAGGGGAAAAGGAATGGGAGCGGGGAGGCGAGGGGGGCATTTCGGGCAGGGGCAGGCGCGAAAGAGAGGTGGGCAGCCGCCCCGTCAGGCCCGAGACATGACCACAAGATCAGGTCGGGGTCCCGAGAACGGCCGAGGGAGACAGCGGAGGACTCTCCCTGTCTGTCTAGAGATCCTCTTCTGTTGTGTTCGGCGATCGCCCAACCGATCCGGTGGGGGGGAGGGAGGAGCCGGCCGATGACCGAGCCTCACGCATGCCTGCGCGTATCCCCTTCAGACCTACGCAACCGACAAGGTCAGGTTATCCGCGGGGAGGGGGGCGCATGCGGGCCCGATAACCCGGGTTGTCGCCGGACCCTTATAGCAGTATCCTATATATATATATATATATATACCTACCTCTCTCACTCTCTTTCTCGTTCTCTGTTGTTCTCTGTCTCTCTCTCTCTCTCTTTCCCTCTGTCTCTCTCTTTCTCTCTCGCTCCCTCCCTTTTCAAAGCATGGTATTATCTACCTATATGTCGCTCGATCCACCTCTCTATTCATATATACAGATGTATCGATCTACAGAGCCATGTGTATAACTACATGTCTGCCTGTATGCATATATACCTATAAACATGTACAACTAACTGTGTATATATGTATATGCATGCACGTGTTCATATGTCTGTGTGGTTGCATATTGCTAGTTCTATGTATATATGGTATATATGTATGCATATATATATATATGTTTCATGCTACATGCATGTGGGCATTCATCCATGTATACGTATAGGTGTATGTATACACACAAACTGTCGACATGTGTATGTATAAAGAGAGGGGAGAGATATCGATAGATGCGCGTTCATATATATATAACGTCTATATATGTATATGCATGCCGAAACATACACATGTATAAAGATAGACATATCGAGCTATACATATATATATATATATGTATACAACGATATGTGTATACATGTGTAGATATAGACAAATCGATACATCAGTCCATATATGTATATGTGTGTACATATATGTGCGCATACAGATACACACATGTATGTCTGGACGTCCCTCCCTTGCGCGCGGAGCGCGCCAGGGGCGGCGCCGGAGGCGCCGCCTGGTAAGCCCAGCGCGGATCCAAGAAATCCGAGCGGAACGCCTAAAATTTCTGTTTATGTCGGTTTTTCCCTAACCAGAACTGCCGTCACCCGAAGAAGCACCAGCTACGGCAGACCTGGCTTTCTGATTCCAGTCCATCCTTTTTGGGCTTCGGGGCCCAATCACTGAACGGCTCCCCTTGACTGGGGTCCTGGCTATACCCGATTGCTGGACTCGGGTTGGCCTGACTGGGCCACCATGAAAATGACGAGACCCAATCTGAAATTGTACGAATCCCGTTGCAAACCTCCCACGAAAACTAGACCGTCAAAATCCAGGACGCGCTCGTCAAAAAGCGTCGGCAAGCCCGAGCTATGGCGCACTCAGGTCTGACGCTTCCCCGACACGACAGGGGCGAGGAGGAGGAAGAGGAGGAGGCGGAGGAGGCGAGGGAGGAGGAGGAGGAGGAAGAGGAGGGAGGAGGAGGAGGAGGAGGAGGGAGGAGGAGGGAGGAGGATGGAGGAGGAGGAGGAAGAGAGAATGAGGAGGAGGAGGAGGAGGAGGAGGAGGAGGAGGAGGAGGAGGAGGGAGGAGGAGAGAGGAGGATGGAGAAGGAGGAGGAGGAGGAAGAAGAGAATGAGCAGGAGGAGGAGGAGGAGGGGGAGGACACGAGGCGGGGGGGGGCGTCCTCTCGTACTGGGTGGCGACCAGGGGGGGCTCGTAGCCCCAGGGCGTCACCACGCTCCAGCAGAACACGGACGGGAAGCCCCACCTCTGCGGGGGCCGAGCGCCCGAGGGACGGCGCGCCCTCTTTGACGGCACGGTCGAAGCACTGCCATAAGGGACCCTAAATAAGGAACAGGAGCCCCTTTTTTCCAAGAGGCCCAAGGGGGCCCCGAGACGCCGCCAAGGAGCCCCAAGAGACCCCCAAGCGGCCCCGAAGAGGCCCCTAGGAGGCCCCAAAGAGGCCCCCAAGAGGCTTCAAAGAGACCCCATAGAGCGCTCCAGGGCCGGGGGAACGAGCGAAGCGACTAAATCAGGAACGAAGCCCCTTTTTCCCAAAGAGTTAAGATTTGATTTCCCGTCGAAGACCCAAGGGGAAGACCTCAGACGAGCTGCAAAACGAGGAACGCCGAGCCCCTCCCCAACGAGAACGGTTCCTTCTCCACGGGCCCGACTGCACCCTCCCCCCCTCCCTTTTTTCAAGGCAGGCGCCCCTGGTCAGGTTGCTCCAACTCCACCGACGACGTGTGCTCACAGAGCTCTAGGTGCAGACGCCGCGGCTGTTCTGATGCCTTCCATCTCCATCTCACATGCGGACTTGGCGTCGCCCACGAAACCGTACAGGAGCCCAATAGCTACACGACTGGATGAACCGCTTGGTCCTGAACATCCCTCCCCTCTCTCCTTCTTCCGTCCATCTTGTGCATCCTGTTATGACGTTTGCTGTTGTGCATCAGGTCGGGCCTCGTCTACGCCACTCCCTCCCTGGTCCCCTTGCCAGCCCGCCTCTGCTTTGCTGCCATCCCCCCACCCCCGTGTCCCACATCCTTTCCCTTCCCTCGCCCTCCGTCCCTCACCTCCCCCTCCTTCCATCTTCCTTCCCTCTTGTACACGTTCCACCGCCCCTGGGCTCCGTACACAATACTCCGACCTTTCCATTCCTGAACCGGAGGCGTATTCCCAGGTTCGGGATAGCGCCTTGCTTCAGGCGCCCTTACCGAGCCGATTATCTTCGTGCCAGCGTCGCCATGTGTGCATTCCACCTGCTGGGACAAAAGCGGATGGCCTCGTCAGCCGATGTTCGGAGACCACCCTGCGTGGCAACAGACCCGTCTGCGCCGAATCAAGAAGCACTCTCCGCACCATCCTGGAAATGATCCAGACGCGAGCGTCTCAAGCGCCCGAGGGTCCAAAACGTCTAAAGACGATCACAGACTGCTCAAAGATGCACCAGGAGGCCCACAAAAACCTGCCAGAGGAGATTACACAAGGGCCGAAAGGGTAAACCTAGGAAATCCACAAAAAGTCCAACAGCGTAGTGGTGTGCTGCGTTCCTCACTCCCGTCGACTGTCAGCCCCAGGCAGCCAAGAAGGCTTCAAGACAAAGCAAAGGAGGCCCGAAACGTCCCGCCACGGTCCAAGAGAGGCAACGACGCCTCACGAGAGAGGAGCCACTGGGCTCCCCGGGCGCCGCAAGAAGCACCGAGAGGATCCGAACCCGGCCAGCTGGGGGGCGCAAAGACGGTTTTGTGAAGAGTGTCGGCGAATGTGGCGTAAGCTATTGATGAAGGGGCTCCAGGACACACAAATAAATACACACACAAATGAACAGATTCCCCATATTTTCCCATATTTTCTGGGTTTCTGTCTTCCCCCCCACACTTCCCATAGTTTCCCATATTTTCTGGGGAATCGAGGATTAATTGTGTCTGTGTTTTTTCCTCTCCTGAATTGAATCATCTGGAAGCGAGACTTCTTGTTGGCAGCCCCCGTCCACGATGTTGTGGTGGTGGAGGTGGTCACAGTAGATGTCGTGGTCGTCGTAGACGTCACCGTCGTGGTGGATGTCGTGGTGGTCGGGAAGCACCTGCATGGCCATGAGCGTTCAATCGGCAGGGGCGCGCCCATTGAAGGAGACCTCGTGAATGATGCAAGCCTGCCTGACATCCCCGTGTGCGTATATAGGCACACGTAAGTACGACGCGCATGCGCGTGCCGAATCATCATCGCAGTAGTCCGCCACTGTGCCCTGAGGCACGCGTTGGAGTGTCCCCAGGTCATTGGCCTACAGTCGGGCTGCTGAAAGAAGGAACGCTACTCCAGATTTCGTAATAAAAGGGAGGGGGTCTGGACCCTCCAAGACAAGCCATTTCAGACCTCCCCCGTGGGAGAACCCTCCAAAACATCGTCCCCAGACCCCCCAGGCTCTCCAAGATAGCCTGGAAGAGACCCCCCCCCCGAAACGAGACCCCCCTCCCTTTATTACGAAATCTGGAGTAACTAAGGAACGGAGCCCCTTTTCTTGGCCCCGCAAGCGCCCCCCGGCCCGTGCCCCAGGAGGGCGAGAGGGACAGCCCCGGAGGAGCCCGAGGAGAACATCGGGCCCCCTCCGAACCCCACGACGGTTCCTTCTTTCAGCGTCTAGGGGCTGCAATCCAGGCCTCGGAACAAATCAGCGAACACTCGTGCCACACTCATCTGTCAACGCCTCCCCCTCCCCCCAATGTTCAAAGTTGGCGGTGGGTCCGACGAGATGCACTTCGACCGCAGCCTCCCCCGCGCGTGCCAACGTTGAGTTTTGGGGGGAGGGGGAGTGTTCAGTGATTGTTTCCTTCTACCGTCCCTTAGGTGAGCCTGTCGCCGGCATGGAAGAGTGCAGGGGCCCCGGGCCCCAAGAGCTCGCAGGATCTCCTCCGGCTCGGCGCCTGCCGTCCGGGGCTCGCCGCGTCCCGCCGCGCGCCTCCTTCGGGCCCAGGCAGAGGGCCCCACGGCGGGCCAGGAGCGAAAGGGGGGGATAGCAAAGGGGGGGGGTGAGAATCAGCTCGCGTAGCTGATTCTCCCGGCGCCTCCCGCCGGGAGGCGGCCATGTATCGAGGAGTGGGCCCCTCGGTGAGGCCGAAACCAGCTGCACGCAGCAGACTTCGTGAACCCCCGGTTCCCAGTCCCCCCCCTTCGCTCGGCCCGACCCACGACGGGCCAAGAGCGCCCCGAGAGGCTCCCAAGACGGCCCAGGAGGCCCCTGGATCGCCGCACGATGGGTCCGAGACGCGCTCGCGGGCCCCAGGACGGCCCCAGAAGCCTTTGAGGCGCTCAGGGAAAGCCCCGAGAGCCTTCCCAAGAGGGCCCCGAGAGGCCAGAATCAGCGAGGCGTTTCAATGTGATAGGGGCCCTCGGCTGTTCGCAGCCCGCCCCAAGACAGCCCAAGAGGCACCCAAAAGAGCCCCAAGACGGCCCCAGCGAGCTCCAAGACGGCCCCAGGGGCGCCCAAGACAGCCCAAGAGAGCCCAGAGACAGCTCCAAGAAGGGCCCACGAGGGGGAGCACAAATCGAACATCCCAGTCTTCCGCCCCAAAGCCCCCAGGAGGCCCAAAGGAGGCCCCAGGAGGCCCCCAAGATGTCTCCAGGACGCCCCAACAGGCGCAAAACGGCTCCCGAGAGGCCCCCCACGACATCACAGCGAACATCCTAAATGCCTATGACCCACAACCCTGCGGCCGAAGGCCACTAGATGATCCGCCGCCACGCGTGGCTTGCAGGGGTGCACGGCGTGGCCAATTGTTGCTTCTTTTCCGAAGAACTCCCCGTAGGGCTTCGGCCCAGCCCGCCGGCCACCCAGAAAACGCACCTCCAGCATGCTTGTTCGCTGAAGATGTCTGCAAGATGGCCCCCAAGACGGCCAAAACGGCCGCCCAAACGGCCAGGATGGCACCAAGAGGGCCCAAAATGGCCGAACAGTGTGGCCAAGACGGCCCAAGATGCACCCACGACGGGGTGGCCTCAAGATGGCCCAGGACGGCCCCAGAGGCTACCAAGAGGCCTCCAAGACGGCCCAAAAGGCCTCCAAGAGGATCGACAGGGAGAACCTGAGAGGTCAAAATCAGTGATGCCTCTCAGGTGTTCGAAAAATGGTGGTATTCGCGCTTTTCGGCTTTCCGAGGGCTCCAGACGGCCCGACAGATCCCCAAGATCGCCGCAAGATCGCCGCATAGGCCTCCAAGATGGGACGGCCCCAAGGTGGTCCCAGATAGCTACCAAGACGCCCAAGATGGCCTCGAAGACGGCCAACATTGCCCCAAAAGAACACAAGATGGTCGCAAACTGTATCCAAAATAGCCCAAGGTGTAGCCAAGACAGGCTAAGGTGGCGAAGAGGGCCCCAAAGGCCTCCAAGGTGCCAAAATCACACATTTCCGCACGTTGTTGAACGAGTCCAGCATCCGCTGCTTGGTGGCCTTCCGACGGTCCAAGACGGCCCGAGGGGTCTCCAAGATCACCCCAAGGTCCCCGAAGCGCTCCCAAGATCGCCCAGTGACGACCCACGAGACCCCGAAGAACTACCCCAAGAGCGCCCGCAGGCGGCCCCAGGCGCTCATGATGGCTTACACGACGTCCAAGATGGCCCCAAGAGAGCCCAAGATGGCCACGAGATGCCTCCAAGACGTCCCCAGATGCAGCCAAGACGGCCTACTGTGGCGTCAGTGTGGTTCAGGACAGCCGAAGCGGCTCCCAAGAGGCATCCAAAAGGTATTTCAGGAAGGCCCGACGAAGGCAAAATCACTAAGTTCTCATATGTGTTTGAAGGATTGGGCGGTTGTTCAGCGTCTGATGTTCGACTGCCCAAGATGGCCGCAGAGGCCATCCAGATAGCTCCGAGAGCGCCCCAGAAGCGTCTGACATGGCCCCCTGGCGGCCCAAGAGGCACCCCAGACGGCCCCACGAGCGCCTCAAGACGGCCCAGGACACTTCCAAGACGCCCAACATGGCCTCTAAAACGGCCCTGAAGCGCCCCAAAGGAACCCCAAGTAGGCCCAGAAAGGCTCCCAAGACGGCCTCCGACGGCGCCAGACGGGCCAGGAAGGCACTCGGATGGCAGAAGGGCCCCCCAAGGAAGCCTCGAAAGGCAGAGGCACCCTAAAGGCCCAAGGAAGCCCCCAAGAGACTTTCAAGAGGACCCAAGGAAGCTCCTAGAAGGCTCACAGAGTGCCCCAAGATGCTCCCAGGAGAAAGTTCCTCCTCCTCCTCCTCCTCCTCCTCCTCCTCCTCCTCGTCCTCCTCCTCCTCCTCCTCCTCCTCCTCCTCCTCCTCCTCCTCCTCCTCCTCCTCTCCTCCTCCTCCTCCCTCCTCCTCCTCCTCCTCCTCCTCCTCCTCCTCCTCCTCCTCCTCCTCCTCCCTCCTCCTCCTCCTCCTCCTCCTCCTCCTCCTCCTCCTCCTCCTCCTCCTCCCTCCCCCTCCTCAGTTGTCCTCCCTTTCGTCATCCTTCTCCCCCACCCTGTGTTCCCCGAAGGGTTTCCAGAACGGCTGGGGGGGGGAGCGCATCGTCCGATGGCTTGGCCGAGCACTGGCCGCGACGTTGGCCACACAGGGCGCAATCATCCCGAAAGGCAGGGGGGGCGGCGCTGGCTCCCCGTGGGCGCCGTCGATCACACTCGTCACAACAGTTGCCCTGGGACGTACCCAGCCCGACCTCCTAACGTCACGAGGGGAGCTGGCCCGGACCAGCACGGCCGGTGACAGCACAGGAGCTGCAGCTTGCGGCGGAGGCCACGTGGGAGGCGCGCGCGCGCGTTGCACGGCTCGCCGGACAGCCACGGAATCACGAGGACCGAGGCTCCAGGATCGAAGAGGACGTCGGGGTGGGAGCGAAGGGCAGGAGAAGGACGGAAGAGGAGACGGTGGAAGGAGGAGGACAGCGAAAGAGGTACGACGAGGACGGTGGCGATTATTGATAAGTGGCACGCTGGACAAGCAGCGCAGCCCGCTCCATGTCGCGGTGGCGCTCCAAAGCGACGGCGAGGTTTCATCTGATCTGACTAGGACGTCACTCTGCTTGACCTCCCAGGAGCCCACGAAAGTGGCGACAACTTCGCAGCTCCCAGCCCCCAACGACGGCGAGGTAGCATCTGATCCGACTAGGACGTCACTCCGCTGGACCTCCCAGGAGTCCACGAAGAAGGCGTCCCCGATCCTCGACCCTCGAATCCTCCTCCCTCCGCCCACTCCTCTGCCTCCGACGCGCGCTTCGCGTAGGGCCTCAGATACCACGAGGGGGGCGCGGGGCGCGACTGAGCCCACGGCAGCACCCGTGCTCGGTGGGATGGCCGCGCGCTGCCGTCGGGTGGCAGAGCGCCGCCTCCCCGACCCAACGGAGACTGCTTCGGGCTCGAGGCTCTGGCTCCACAGCGAAGCCCAAGAAGCCCAGGGCATCCTGGAGGCAAGCAGGGTGTTTCTTGGCATGGACCTCCACTGCAATCCACACTTCAACGTCTTCACCCCAGGTCGCCTCCCCGACCAAACGGAGACGCTCCGGGTTCGAGGTCCTGGCTCCACGTCGAGCCGCATGGTCGATGCGTCGTCGATGCGGAGCGATCCCTCTGCCAACCTGCTTTGACCCCATCTGGGCGGCCTGGGAGCCAAAAGCCCTCAAACCTCGCCCCCTCGAACCTCTCCCATGAGGGGCAACGAAGGGGGGGATGCATCGACCTGCAATCGGCGATGCATCGCCGATGGATCGGCGATAGGCCCCCCACAGTGAATCCGCGCCCTCCTGGGCGGGTTGGGGCTATCGGGCCCCTGTCGGCGATGGAAGGGCGATTGGGGATCGATGCGCCCCCCCCTATGCCTATCCGGCTCCGCCCCGTGCTCCGGGAGCTGCACGGCGCAGGCAGCGGCGGCGAGGCCGTGAGCGGGCCCCGCGGCGAGACGCGCGGAGGAGACGAGGAGGAGGGGGGGCAAGGAGCCCAGCGAGGAGAAGGAGGAGGAGGAGGAGGAGGAGGAGGAGGAGGAGGAGGATATCGTTGCCCCTGATCCCGCATCTCCCCCCACGCCCGCCCCCCGCCCCGGACGCCCACGAGGGGCCGGCACAGCGTTCGAGGTGCCGGGCTCTCCGTTCGCGGGTGCTCGCGGGCCCTCGCCGGCCTGCCGGCCTCGGAGAGAGGCGTGCCGCCCATGGGCCGGCACCCCTCCCGAGGCCAGCAGGCTCGCTCCTTCGGCGAGCGGCGCGGCTGCTGCAGCCGCCGCGCACCTCGCCGAGGGCGAGCCTTTTGGGGGCGCCCGGGCTCGTCCCGACGGGGCGCCAGGAGGCCGGAGACACTGGCCCGAGGGCCAGGGGCGGAGGGGGGGAGGGAGGGGAGGAGGGAGGGAGGGAGGTTCCACACATCGGGGAACGAGCAACGGCACAGACGATAGAAAAACTCGGAGAGCCGCGCGGACTTCTCGGGTCGGTGCTGGACGCCCCCTCCCTGGCGCGCGGAGAACGCGCCAGGGGGGGCGGCGCCGGAGGCGCCGCCGGGGCGGCTCCCGCGCGGATCCGCGAGGTGCGCGCGGGCCTCCCGAGTGTTTATGTTCATGTCGAGGCGTTGACCTAAGGAACCCTAAATAAGGAACGAGGCCCCTTTTGTCCATAAGTTAACCTTCGATTCCCTGTCGAAAACATAAGGAAAGTCTGAGGCAAGCTGTGAAACACTTAAGGAACGCGGAGCCTCTTCCCAACGAAAAGGGTTCCTTCTTCAGGGCCCCGACTGTACATCCCTCCATTCAGCAGGGCCCCGAGAGCCAGGCGCTCCCCTGTTGCCCACCGTGCTGCGATCCAAGAGAGGCACCACGCACGGAACGGAGGGGGCTTCTCTGGCCGCGGCGGGAGCCCGAGGGCAAGAAGAGGTCCCACGAGGTGCCTCGGCCCGAAGAGCGGGCCGAGGTTCTAGGGTTGTGGATGCCATGACAACGGACACTCTAACAATCCTGTCATTGAATTGAACATGTGCTCAAAACGCGTAAAAGATGTTATAGCATGTTTCAAGCATGGTTTCATATATAACATGTTTGAAGCAATGTTTACACATCTGGAAATTATTTGGACACATGGTTCCTCTCCGTTCATCGACTTCCACAATCCTGGGGCCCTCCGCGAAACTTGACGCGAACGTTTCCCGCGCCGCGTCGGCACCCCCAGGCCCCCGAGACACGCGACTGGGCTCTTGTCCCTCGGCGTCCGCGAAACCGCGCCGCGCGCACAACCGGACACGGAAAGCGGGGGCGCAGAGGAGGGGGGGGGCCGGAAAAAGCTTGCGTCAAGTTTCGCGGAGGGTTGGCAGGGCCCTGAGGGCTGGGCGTTGCACGTCTTCCCGCTGTGCGACTCTTTAAAAAAGACGCCCCCTGCGGAACCAAGGGGCGCTATTTTTCTGGCCGCGGCGAGGGCCTCAGGGCACGAGGAGGTTCCACGGGACCTGTAGGCCCGAGGAGCGGCCCAAGGAACCAGTACCAGGCCTGAGCCCAGACGGGTCCTTGCTGCAGCGTCTTCGCTCTGCAGTGGAGGCCAGTGCGAGGCGGGGAGTTATCCGTATCCACCGCCTGGGAACCGACGTCCTGGTGCCCCAGCGGGCGGTGGATATGGATATGTTTCGGCCCCCCGGGGGCCCGATTATATCCATATCCACCGCCTGCCGAGATCCCCGAAAATTGATCCTCCAGGCGGTAGTCATGTATAAATTCCCGCCTCGGAACCAGTCCACAGAAAAACCTTCCACAAGAAACCCAACACTGCGACCCCAGGGCGTCCACGGTTTTTTGGCGTGGGCACGTCACGCATTCCAGAGCTTCGCCCTGGGTCACCTGTCGGCGGCGAGAGAGGGGGGGGAAGTGAGAAGGAGAAGACATTCCCAGAGGGCGGCGGGACTTCTCAGGAGCCCTCGCGCCGTCTGAGAAGCTTTTTTGTCTGTCTTCGAGGAAGGCTTCGAAAACTGCGCAGAAGCCTCGGAGAAGCCTTCTGACCCTTCTGAGAAGCCTCTGGGAAGCCTCTGGGAAGCCTCTCAGAAGCCCCTGAGAAGCCGGGGGGACTTCCGAACCTTCTGAGAAGGCCTTCTCCTTCTCTCAGTTCCCCCCTTCGCTCGCCGCCGACCTAGGTCACTTGACATCGAGCACCGAACCCCGACGACATGAGGATGTCTTCGCGCCGCCGCCCTGGAGAAGTGCACCTTTGCGGCCCAGGCTGCAAAGAGCGAAGCGCGATGGTCTTGGGGACCCCTGGGGAGGACCTGGCCGACTGGACAAGCCCTCCCTGGCAAAGCAGCTGCAGCACAGGCTCCCATAAGAGGGGCGCCATGAGCAAAAAAGCGAGGCAGCTCCTTCTGTGTAGAGAGATCGCACAACTGGCAGGCAAGCCCACCAAATTGATATTCCTCGCGAAACAAGTCAGCATAATTAGCGGGACTGCACTTGAGGCGCGTAAAGAAGATGTATGAAGCCAACTCTGCCAGACCGCCCGCACCACCGATATGTGACGACCGCTTGCTTCACCACACACCCAAGACTCCCCGCATCATTCACAGCGCTGCATCGTGCGGTAGCTCTTTGCGACGGGGCATGTGATGAAAACGTTGGTGAACAAAGGCGGCACAAACACGAAAACTAAAATTCAACTGAATCCAGGCACGTCTCCGCGGTGGAGCAGATAGTTGTGAACTTCTCGGAGATCCCGTTCATGTGTGCGATGCTGGGAGCATGTTGCACATAACTGGTCGATCATGCAAGAGAGGTCTGCTCGGAAAGGTCATCTGTACACAAATTGACTCCAACACTGACCAGAGAGTAAGCGGACAAAAACAATAAGCGACACCACTGTCGACCACGATTACAAGAATATTGGATGGCAACTCTTCTCAATGTCCAATCAAGCATGACCTCCCCTCGCATGCTTCCAACAGCGTCTCAACATGCCATGTAATCTTCCTCTCACCGTCCCGTCGTCTCGTCACGGGAGTTGAAAGCTTGACAGCCGTTGTGAGAGCTCTCATCTCGGCTCACGTTATGCGTCATACGTGACGTGCGTTCGAAAGTGCGCGCGCATGCCAGTTTTAAGGTAAACATGGATGTGCGATGGGTTGCCGCTGTGGGCCCATCAGGCTGTTGATGCGGGTGGCCACGACCTGGATTATGATGATAATGCTACCACCGCCCCATTTGATCCACGTCAGGGCGAGAGAATGGATTCGGCACCTCGCTCCCCCAGCAGGGCAGGTACTCTCACGTTCCCTCCTCCCCTGCCTTCTCCATCCCCCCCACCCCTCGCCATCGCTCGGACGTCCAGTCCCTGTGTTTTTTGTTCGGTTTCGCGCGTGGCTGTTTCGCCAAATGATCAAGGATGCTCCTCGATGGTCCTCGCCGAAGGAAAAATGCCCACGTCCGAGCGATGCCAAGTCCCAGATCGACCCCAGGACCTGTCTTGAGGTGCGTCCTGCCCAGAAAGGTAAGAAAAAGTGCAGCCGTGGCGACGAGAAGCCTGCCAGAGTGCTGAAAAGGGCGACACGCGACCGAAGACGTCATGCCTCAATTCTACTCCTTCATCCTCCTTCCCCCCTTTGCCCCCCTCCCTTCCTCAGAAATCTGGCATCGTGCTTTTGTTTCGCAACGTGGCTCCCCAGAGGTTTGGACCCATCCCCTGATTCAGACGTTTCGTCCTGGGTCGTGTTTTGACGGTCCCTGGGCCTGGTGGGGGGCCCCCTGAGGCCAACGTCGTGCTCGCGAAACCCATCCGTCGTGCGTTTTTTCCACGACGCGAAGATGGCACTGTGAAACCAAAGAGCTCTCAAGCTGGGATTGCGCAGTTGTTCTTGTTCAGCCTGGCCCCAGGACGTGTTCAGTGACTTCTGGAATCGGGACTCGGTGGCTACGGTTCGCTCAACACACGCAGTAGAGACATGTGCAACCCCACAAAGTACAACCAACCCGGAGAATAAGGATGCGCAATAAGGATGCAAGGGCCTTGAAAGGCCATGCCGACCCTTTGCGGGCGGGGCGCGGCCAACGAAAGTCGCCAAGGATGGAGACCGAGGAAGCAAGGATGCAGGGTACCCTTTGGGAAGGCTGTCCCTCTTTACTATGCGGGTTGACTGTATGTGCAATCGCGCGCTGCGGTGGCAGCGACGTGGGCCATACGGACCACCCCGCCCCACAGCGAAGAAGTTGCTCGCAGCGGCTCGGCAGAGGTGCGCTCGATCGGGCAGGAGTCCACCGCGGGACCCGGCGCGGGGCGGCCTGGACACAATCAGCGCCTGCGTGCTCTCGGCGTAGTAGCAGTTGGCAGAGTGGGCGACATCCTCCCGTCGGAGGGCAAGGGGAACCTTGAGGAGCAGCAAAGGAGCAACAAAAGCACAAACGGCGGGAGGCTTTCCCAGACCTCCAGAAGGCTGCGCGTGCGCAACTCCCTGCTCTTCTGGACTGGGCGGGCACGAATGTCCTCGATTGAAACTGGCTCGGCTCGATTTCGTCTTAATCGACTCGACTTGGCTCAGCTCCAGTCGACTGGATTCGGCTCAGCTCGGCTTCGATCAGTTCTACCCGACTCAGCTCGGCACGAACGAAACACTGGAGAGCCCTAAGACGGCCCAATGATCGACACAACTTTCGCGAAAAGGCCCCCGCCCGCGAACGACCCAGCGACGCCCACAGTTTGGACGCCAAGGCTCCCGAGCGTTTCAGGTGACAGAGAACCTCGGTGCAGGGAAACCTGTGACATCAACCAATTTGAACGCCGCATCAGCTCCACCCCCGTGCGCGCCTGACCCCGAAATCCACGATTTCGCGTCAGCCCCGCTCCTTTGTGTGCACAGCACATCATAAATATGACTCGGCCTGCTGCCCATGTTCGTCCAAACCCACCCCCCCAAGAGGGCCCAAGAGACCCCCAGAGGAATCGAAAACATCGTGGCAACATCACATTATACACCGCAAACTACGTTCCCTACCTGGGCTCTGCCTAGAAGGGTTCTTACCGTGCAAGCTTAAAGGGCCGGGCAATGGAAACCGCCCCGGGCGGTTCCCCCGGCATCCGCCCCGCGGTTCCCCCAGTCCCCTGGGAGATTTAGCTTTAGCTTTAGCTTTAGTTTTAGCTTTAGTTTTAGCTTAGTTTTAGCTTAGCTTTAGCGTAGCTTTATCTTAGCTTCAGCTTAGCTTTAGCTTAGCTGCACCTTAGCTTTAGCTTAGCTTCACCTTAGCTTTAGCTTAACTTTAGCTTAACTTAGTTTTAGCTTAGCTTTAGTTTAGTTTTCGCTTAGATGCGGCTTAACTTCAGCTTAGCTTTAGCTCAGCTTCAGTTTAGCTTTAGCTTAGCTTTAGCTTAGTTTTAGCTCAGCTTGAGCTGAGTTTTAGCGTAGCTTTAGCTTAGATTTAGCCTAGCTTCAGCTTAGCTTTAGCTTAGTTTTAGCTTTAACTTAGCTTTAGCTTAGCTCTACTTTAGCTTTAGCTTAGCTTTAGCTTAGCTTCACTGTTACTACTAATGTTGTTTTCCTAGGGGCTCCAACTCCTAGGTAGGGTCGCACTGGATAATTTTAAAAAATGGCATGGAAGGCATGTAGTGCGTGAACCCAAGATTGGGGTGCGATCCTTTACCTCTCGGTAGGCGCGCAACACTATACAGCCATCAATAAGGCCGCCGCGTCTCGCCTTGAGCCAGAAGCGGCAGTAGGACACGCGTAGCACAAGACAAAGGCCAGCGCGTCAATTAAGAAAAAAAGAGTGCAGGGAAGAACTAAAAGAAAAAGAAAGTGGAAAAAGGAGATCAAATTAAAAAAATAACAAACAAATAAATAGCGAAGAAAGAGAGGAAGAAACCCGTAAAACAATATATTAATTTGGAAAGAGAAGAGGGAAATAAAAGAAGATATAATTACTTATCGAAGATAAGAGAAGAGATAAATTGAGGGCTGGCCAAAACAATAAGAACAGACGAACGGGGGTGGTAAAAAAATCATTAAGTAAAGCGAGGGGTGATTATAAAAGCATAAATGCCTGGTAATGTTTTCACGGGCCCGAGATAAACGAGCCCCAGAAAAGCCCAAAAGCCGGAACGCTGGACAAAAGTGAGCCTAAAAGGCCCCAAGGCCCAGGCGCCGGGAGGCCCTCACCGACAAGCCTGGACACGTGGCTGTACGCACATATGTTTATACCCCGGCAACAAGAACTCGTTTCCTAACGGCCTTGGCACGTGGCTCACTGTAGAACCCGCACGGTACGCCTGAAAACCCCTGCTCGCGCAAACTGCAATTGCGACCTAAGGACAGTAGATCAACCGACAAAGAACATGCCCCACTCAACATGTGACCTTCATTTGTTCGGCTTCGTCCTTGGATGCCCTCTGGCAGGGGCGAAGAATTTTACATCACGGTTGAAAGACTGGTTCCCCGACATCACTTCCACGACGCGGTCTCTATCGATACCCCCCATGGGCGCGGCCGCTGGTCATATCCCATGCGTCACAGCATGCTATAATATAAACAACGCCTACACCCATGAGTTCACGCATCCAAGTGACACGGCCGAGCGCTGCACATTCGGCAGGAGCCGAAAAGTCTTTATTCGACAAAGATGCGCCCACAGTGTCCGCAGCAAGAATCCTAAATATCTGATGGCCACGCCACCAATTCCACGCGCGTCGCGGAATGCCTTCGGTCATTGCGGGCCAACTTGTCACTCGCGCAGCGCGATGAGCGCGGGACATGCCTCGTCTAGGTCGCGGGCGGCCGCCAGCGCTTCCGCCGCATAGGTGGACCGCGCCTGAAGTCGATGGAACTTGCCGCGCGCAAGAGTACCACGGATTGCCGCTGGGCGAGTTTCCTCGACGGAGCAAGGTGGACCCTCTGATGTCGTAGCCTTTGATCGACGCACCCCCCCCCCCCCCGCCATCCAGTTTACGGCGGTCAGAGTCACTGCGAATGCCCACTTAGCCTGTAAAGCGCATTCGAGGAAGGTCGCCATGGATCGCCGATGAATTTCCTCGCTGCACCGTTCAAGGGATGAAGCTGGATATCCGCGGGCTCTTGCAACTTCTGGAGTGAGACCACAGAGATCACCAGCGCGTTCTGCGCGAGGAGCGGATAGGCTAGTGCCCCGCGCAAGCTGACAAGCATGTCGAGCACAACTTTCGCTGCCTTCGCTTCCACTGTCGCGACGGCGAGCTCGAATGGAGTTATGGGTCAAAACAAATTGCTGTAACCGTCTTGACCCATAATGACATCACCGTTGTCGTTCTTCGCGCAGCGCACGGCGCATTCCGCGTTTTTGCAGAGATTGCGCTTTCCAAATACATGTTCGACCCGTCAAACCGAATCGCCAACGTTTGTCTTAAGTCCCGTCATCTTGGAGTTGTCAACGCGTTTGGCGGCGACGAGACCAGGGCCGAATTCGAGTTCGGAGCCGAAGCTGGATTGGATTTAGAGCGGCGGGCCCCGCGGCGTTCCGCAACGCGAGCGAGAACGCACGAGGGCTGTCCGACGTGCCCGTGCCTGGCAACAGGCATTCGAGACAGCGGCGACTTTCGTCGCACTTTCGTCGTACTTGAGCACCCAGCGGGGACCACGAAGCACACTTGGCGCGTTTCCTCGCCAGTCGCTGCAGCCAAATCTTCGCAGGTCAGACCATAAGGGAATGCTTGGTCAACTTCCACGGATGCTAGAAACCACGCAGGGTGACATGCTGCCTCGGTTGCGGCGAGCGGTACCGGACAGTTTCGATGTCGAACGCCTCGACGTCCACGCAGCCCCTCAACAAAAGTCGCAGACAGATGGTTCGCACTTGTTTACAATGTCCGTCTCGTACGAATGCCAATGTGCACACGCATCGACCGATTACTACATGAGGCATTTGAAAGGTTGCATATCTCGAAACCTTTGCTGCCCATCCATATTGTCAGCTCGCGCGCAGGATCGCACGAATTTTCTTCGGATTCGCGGCGATGTCCGAGGCGGCGGGTAGGTCGTCATCCTTGGCGACCGCTGCCCGCTCCGCAGCAGCCGACGCGCATGCGCGCACGGTCCGCGCCCCGCCTCGACGGTGGTAGTACTTTGGCCCAGCGTTCGCACTTTGAGGGCGGTGCCAAGTTCATCTCATTATCTGCTTGCCGTCTCGTTGTTCAGACCACCCTCGCAGTCGGAATACCAAATAATACGTGGGCCGCGGCGCGTGCGTCAACGGTAGCAGGTATCGAGGATAGACGACCGTTCTCTAACACAAATTTATATTCGTGCGCTCTGTCGGATGCAACGATCGATCGCGTGAAATACGTCGCGCGTGCCCCTATAGAACATCAGATCGCAATCATAGTCCTTGCTGGACGCGCCTGCGCGACTGACAGATGGGGGAATTGACTCGCCAAGTATTTCCAAGCTCTACATTCCCGGCAGGGGTCACAGACTTCCTTGATCACAGATAGACAGATAGACTGGCGGCGCCAAGTCCAACGCTGCCGAAGATCGCGCGCGTCGTAGGCTCTTCGGCGCGATGCCACCGCAGCTGCAGTTGCCAAAGCTCCTCCTTCAATGCAGCCGGGTCGTAGCTGCGCAGTCTCGGCAGGCTACTTGCACGTTGAAAGGTGGCGAGTCAGGAAGCCTACGCGGGCCAGGGCCAGGGTTGTCTCGTGCATTTCGCACAGCACGAATCGGGCCGCATGCAGCACCAGGGGGCGCATCGGGGCGAAGGGGGCCACGGGCCGAAGGCGGCCCCAGCGGGCAAGAAGCCGAGGTGAACCGACAAAACCGCTGGACGGCGCGTTTCCGCGCTCAAACAGGAGGGGCGTCGCGCATGACTTCGTGACTGCACGCCCTTGCCGCGGGGTCGTCATGGCCAGATGCCCTGGGTCGCGGAGGCCTGGGGTGATATGCCAGCCTTCTAGAAGAAGACGACTGGCCGGCCCCCCGTTCTGGCTCGGCGATCGCATTCACATCCGGGACAGAATGCCACCGCGGAGGACACTCATGCGCGCTGGGTCGCGATCGCCTGGCAGGTGGAAAGGAACGGCGAAACGACATTTTCCCAGCGGGTCCACGAAATTGCCGCTGGCCCGCCCGGCGCAGCACTCGCAGCGCGCGGGGCGCAGCCCACGGACAGGGATGGCGCCGCACGAACGACGCTGTCTGATCACGATAATGCGAGACTGCGCTCTCGGACAGCGTTGGCGCAGGCAGGGCGCCCGATTCCGATTGAAAGCACGCTCGCACCTAGGTCGCGCACCCTGGTGGCCAGGTCGCCGGGCCCCGTTGCGGCACCAGCACCCGCGGCAACTGCTGCCACGAACGCCCGCTACAGGCGCTTCGCGCATTGCGCT